AAGAAGAAGAAGAAGAAGAAGAAGAAGAAGAAGAACAAGAACAAGTACAAGAAGAAGAAGAAAATGAACAAGAAGTAGAAGAAATTTGTCTTTTCTCCCTCTCCGCCACTAACCTATCTGCTGCAGCAATGACCGCTCCGTTCTCGTATCTCCGTCCTCTGTACTCACACTCAGTACACGACGGGCAGCAGCCCACCATAACGGGGTTGGAGCAAGTGACCGGCGGGCAGGTCACACTTCGGCACCGCACCGACCCCTGTGAGCACGAGCAGCTCTGGCACGGGTCTTGAGGATCGGGAGCCGACTCACCGTTCTGGAGTATCAAGCCTAGATAACTGCAGTCTGTGAGAACAATGGAGAAAAAAAAAGAATTCAAAACTACAATTTGTTTTAGTTTAGTAAGAGTTTTACATCACGACTGTGTAAGATCATATGAGCGCATAGAGTTTGTGACATATAGGGCAAGTGAGGCCTGCTATTCTTGGACATAACAGGGACACTGGCCCAGGATTGAGATAACTTGAGATAGAGCTTGCTGGCAATCTATGCTACACAAGGGGTTTTAGGTGGAAGAATGTAAAAGAGAAAAACAGAAAACAAAATTAGAGATACTTACCTGAGCAGACAGGACAGCAGCCATCTTGTGCAGGATTGGCACACGTCACTTGAGGGCACATTCTCCGTTTGCAGTGAACAGAACCCTGGACAGGGGGAGAGAAAGAGACCAGGTAAAAGTTACTTATACAAGATAATTTACACATTATGATATATATATATATATATATATATATGGTGTTGCAAGTATGGACCCAGCGTCACACACTAGACAATAACATTTAAAAATTTGAAAACTTTAAAAGATACAGAGGACTAAAATCATCACCTATTGTGTAAATTACAATACTAACAATGCAAGACAACCCAAATCAAACAAAGTAACATAAAACATATCTTCTGCATCTATGCAGAGCATAAAACAAAGATCTGGAGAGACAAAGTGACCCAAGGAAAGAATTCTAGGTTCGTCACAAGTAATCTACGACCTTTTTATGTGGTACAATAATTCAAATTTGTCTCTTTTTAGCTAGTGTACTTCTATTTTTGCTCAGTCTTTAAAGATATTTTAAGTCGCACACTTTTAACTCTTTATCTCTGGCAAGCCGCTCCCAGCAGTTCGCGGTTGGAACCGCTGTGCTGGTGAGTCGCTGACAGCGGTTTGGGCACATTCCTTTCCAACGACTTTGACATCAAATTACTTTTCGTCAATTGCCGAAAACAGATCTCTTTTACCAGAAGTTCATTCATTAGATGAAAATCTATCAAAATAGGTTTGCTAGTTTTGATTTAATGACCCATTTAATGATGAATGATGTTTTTGTCATTTTTAGATTTTGCACCAAAAAAGGGCCCCAGCGTAGTGGGTTTAACCCGCCTCCGAGATAAAGAGATAAATAGATTTTTATAGATTTCCAAAAGTTCAGAAGTATCTGGCAAAGCAGCACCACCATTTAGGGTCACTGACCTGTCGACACAGGCAGTCCTCACACTTGGCTGCAGGGTTCACAAAGGTCACGCCGTCGTCGTAGCTGAGTCCACCAACGGAGCACTGCTTAGGGCACACAGGGCAACAGGAGCCTGCCATAGGCATTGGGTTGCGGCAGTTCAGATCCTCACATATGGTTCTGGTGCAAGTCACTGTGCCAAACTGGAAGTAAGACAATTTGAGTTGATGTGAGAATAGGTAGATAATATGATGGGATTCTTCTTTTAATATATAAAGAGAGTCAATGGAGCAAAGAAAGATGGGGCTGTTACTAATACAGTTGAACCTTCTTTTGTGGGTGGTTGGCGGGTTTTCTGGTGTGGTTTGCTTCTTCTTTCCTATCAAACATCTATCATCCTTATCTCTCCTCCGTCTTTTTTTGTGTTTCTTACTCTCTTGTAACACCTCTAATCTTCGGCACTTACATTACCTTTTTGTGTTGCAAGTGCTGTAAAACACTTACCAAAACTAAATCTTCTTTACTGCTATCTGCCCGAGACAATCATCTGTACAAACTACCACTTCCCAATCCTCCCTTGCACTTTTTTCCAATCTAAGACATCCACTTGAGACAACAAATCTTCTCCTTGACAGTGGGTGGCCATCTTGGACAATTTTCACTCTATTAACAAACTGACCAGCAACAAATATGAGGGAAAGACATACGTCCCTCCAGTAATCCTGAACTCTGGTATCAGAAGCCAAGCAATTTTGTCTAGAGTTTGAGTTGAAACAAAATGTAGAGTGAAATTACCAATAGCTTTTTTCTCTCTAAAAAAAAAAAAGCCAGGTATGAAAAAAATTACTCAAATGTCACAGAATTTTTTCCAAACAGATGTAATAATAGACTGGATATTGGTCTGTGACACCAACACTTTTATATATTATTTACTTCCACAAGAAAACAAGTGCTTGTAGAACATAATTATTCCTGTAATAAATAAAGAACACCACATGGTTTTACCTTCTATGATAATGAAACAACATGGAAAAATATTATATTTTCTAGATAGGCTAATATGGCATAGCAAAACAAATTGTGTCACAACGCGGAGGAATCAGGCGCTTGTCAATTTTTCAACATACGGAGTTGTTGATACCATCTTAAAACTTGTTCAGTTGTCTTGCTTTCGGTGCAAAAAAAAAATACTCATTTATCTAGAATAGAGATAGAGAAATTTGAGATTGAAGGAGGTTGGGGTTGCTGGGTTTCAGAGATAAAATTAGCGTGAACATGGTCGCCATAGTTTGGTGACTTCCAAATTTTGAGAGTCTTTGGGAACTGCAAAGTTACATATTTTGTGCCTTGCAACAATGTTTTTCCAGTAAAATCCACACACAAAGTGTATTTTTAAGATAGGATATGTCTTTATTGTCCTGATCCTGCCACGTTGGTTTGGTGTTTCACCACGTACACACACACTCACACACACACACACACCTAAATGGACCTAAAATATGATGTGTCCAAAAAAAAAAATTGATAAAAATTGCCAAATAGGCGGGGAAAATGGCAATTTCTTTGAATTCATTATTATGACGAGCACCTGATTTTACACGACGCCTCACAATTATGGGTCATAACATTCCTACCGCACAGATACACTGCTGGCACACGTCTCTAGGGTGAACAAATCCTTGCTGGTTCCGGAATATTCTGTTCTGGTACAAGCAGAAATTGCACTTGGGGCAACATTCTCCTGGGAGCTGAGCCGGGTGAGTGCAGGTCAGTCGCTCACACTCGGGCCGCTCACAGCTGATCTGACCATCCTGAGAGGAAAAGAGAGAAAATTTAATCAATATCAATAAGATCGTGTTGAAATGAAGTAAATATGAAACACTGAACCATTTGAATGGATACTTACTTTATGACATCCAACCATTAAAACATTTGAATTAACATATTGAAACATTTGAATGAACACTTTAAAAGATTTAAATGAACTTTCATTGTAGCAAAACATTTATTATTTTCTCTACAGCTCCTTCCTCTGTAGTTTGTTGATGAATTTTCTCAAAACATGGAAGTCCATAACTCAAATTCAACAAGGGTCTACATTTTTCTGGTCTTCCCTCAAAAATGTTTCCCTTCAACCTTGAGGTGTAACAGGGGACTTTAACTTCCTGCTTCAGAATGATCTCAGGTGTGTTGGGAATAGAAGTTAATTTTCTCATAAGAATTTCCGAACAGTGACATCTATTTGTTTGCTCCTTTACCTCGATAAGATTAAGAGTGTGTTCTATTGAAAATAACTTTATTCAGTACTTGAGCAAAAAGTTACACTAGCAACAAATAACTTAAAATCACTTACCATTACTGCAAACGTGTAGTCAAAATAATTAGTTGAGGATAACTACAAGAATCAGTATCTGTGGTGTAGCAATTAGGCACTTCGTCATGGGGAGAATTTTTATCAAGCACCTCCATCTTTTTGTTGGGATGTTGTACCCCTCTTTGTCTGGGTTGGCCCAGACAGGTAGGGTCAAAGCTCACCTCCCAAAAGATCTAAATTGTCTTTATGAGAACATAAAAAACAGCCAAGTCCATTAAAAAATCATTTTACCAGAACAAATTTCCTGAACTACGAGTGAATTATCTTCCCTGAGCTCACCTTGCATACACAAACGGAGCAATCAGCGCCCGGCCTTGGGAATGACTGGCCTTCTCTGTACTCTCTCCCCTCAAATGTGCACTTATTGTCACACACAGGGCAGCATTGGCCTGGGGGCATAGTGGGATTCGAACACCGGACCAGTGGACACTCTTTCCTGCTGCAAGTCACGGAGCCTCTCTGTGTGGGGGGAGAGGTAAGAAAAACAAGTAATACAGAACCATCAGCATCTCATATAGCATATTTTTTCTCTGAATTAAAGAGTAGTAAATACAGTCAAAACTGTCTAAGATGGCCATCTATTACAGAGGAGAAAAGTGTTTGTCTATGATAGATGGACGCCTTACACAAAGTCAGTGCAAAGTAAAAAAAAACCCACAAAAAAAAGAAAAAAAATCGCAAGGGAGGAAAAGATAAGTGGCCGTTTGTACAGGTGATTGTCTTATACAGGTGGCCGTTTGTACAGGTGATTGTCTTATACAGGTGGCCATTTGTACAGGTGATTGTCTTATACAGGTGGCCGTTAGAGCAGGTTCGACTGTAGTTGTAATTCCAGTCATTTGGTGCTTGTGAAAAGTAAGATGAGGGGGAAAAAATCAAGAAGGAATCTCTGAATTGGGTAGCATATTCCAATGTTCAGTCTTTTCAAGTACTGACTCATTGAGACAATGCTGTGCTCATCAGGCAAACAGCACACAGAGTTTTGCAGCTAGTCTCCCAAGTATTTGAACTATGAGAGCAGCCAGCAATCTACAAGACAGGAAGAAACACACATCATGCTCACAATAGGAGAAATGTCAGTTCAAAAATCTACAAATTCAGCCTATGAGACTGTCAGAGCTGCAAAAATTACCATGTCCCTCCAAACTTTACCGACCATAAAAGTGCATTCTGATAGGAATTTCCTTCAAAACTTGACTCCACTAGGACACTGTGACAAGCACTTTATTTCAAAGTTCATAATATTACAAGGGCAGATCTCATGAATGTTCGATTTCAAGTTAATCTTACAGCGTTACTTCAAAGTTCACTTTACATGTGCAGACCTGACAGACAAGCCTTTCACTCTCAACATTACCCACCAGGTACAGTTCAGAAGGCTCTTTACTCTAACATTAAATCTTCTAGATACAAACCTCGCAGACTTTTCAGCATAAATCTTAATGTGAATTAAATGCAAATCTGATATGCCTTTCACTCTGAATGTTTCCTTACAAGTTGTCACTGCTGCAAGCAAGCCATTTAAGTCCAAATTTTAAGAATTTTTTATTTTCACACCCTCCAATAGCTCTACCAAAGATGCACCTTTCAACATCACCAAAATGCAGTTTAATGCTAGGGTCAAAACTTGCAATTTTCTTGCTTTTCTTGATTCCCAGATAAGAACAACACAACAGAAACTAGTTGTTTGTTTCTCGAGTAAAAAGTACCCATAACAGACTTCAGGGATTGCTTACGACACCAACAATGTACAGATCTGACAAAACCTTCACAGTCAACCTTATCATACAGGTATATATCTTGCAAGGATCTGACCCTGTGAAGCTAGATCCTAAAAGACTTTCACAGTTAACCCTATCCGTCCACTCAGGGGTCATTTCGTACCCCCAGGGTTGTATTCTTCACATTTTAGAATACTTCTAGTATGAAGATCCCTTTGAAACTATCAGTAATTCTCAAAAAATCATTTTGACAGACTGCTATTCAAAGTGTAAGGATCGGATTAACAAGTAAATTTCTTCTTTGGAAAGTGGTGGCACAGAGTTCCCTACATCGTATGGATACGATAATAAAACATGACGTACGGATAAGGTTAACCTTACCATACAGGTAGGCCTACATAAAATATCTGGCACGGATCTGACCCGGCGAAGCTCGATCTGACAAAACTTTCACAGTTAACCTTACCTTACAGGTACATATCTGGCACAGATCTGACCCCGCGAAGCGCTGTCCGTTGCGCATGACTCTGCGCTGGTACAAACAGGCGTCACACGTGGAACAGCACTGGTCCCGCTGGCGAGCCGGGTGAGTGCACGTGACAGGCGGACATTCTTCTGGTATAGAGTTGCAGCTCACTTGTCCTGACTGGTGGTCATACAGTGATACAGGTATGTGTGAGGAGTGTTTGTGCACTCTTTATGATGTACAAGAAGTACCAAGAATGTCACATGGAACAAAAGAAACATATCATTTTAGCTGATATTAATTATGCAAGTATGTTGTGTGGTTGTGAGAGTGTGTGTGTGTGAGGGGGGGGGGGTTGTGCATGTGTGTGTGTGTGGGGGGGGGGGGGGGTTGTGCATGTGTGTGTGTGTGTGTACATAAATATATGTGTATGTGTGAGTGTGATTATGAGAAGCTTAAATTGAGTTTGAAAGTGTTTCAGGCGGGAGTGCAAGGAGTGTTGCATTGGGGAAAAAAAATAATCTCTTTCTCTGTGATCTCAACAAATCCAGCATCATAGAACTGAAACATTAGGATGATTAAACATGCTTATCCCCTTCATGACACAGGGTCAGTTTGTGCCTCACTGGGTACCATTTTGGATTTTAGATAAGTCAGTCAATGGACAGTGAATGTATAATATTGTGTTTTGACAGACTGAGATAATGATGTAGTTTGGACACAAAATCAAAATTAGCGAGAAAAAAAGCCCCAAGCTACGGGCTCAATCCCACCCACAGAAATGTTTCATTTGATTCAAGGAAAATGAAGGAGAATTGGAAATTTATCTGATCTACATGGCTAATCACAAGGAAAATCAGGCCAGATACACTCTTGAACCAAAAAGGGGAAAAGAAAAGCATGAAAATAAAATGTCCTGTTGCCAACGTTATCCCATACAAGTGAAGCCCTGCATCTAGCATGTTGCTGTCATTGTTGCTTATTGTTCAGAAAGTAAGACTTTATAAAGTCATACCTGGCAAACATATTTCGGACAGTAGCTGGGCACCTAACTAGCTGTTTATTATACAAGTTACTGTTCTGAAAGTAATCTTACACAAAAAAAAATTTTAATTATGCCTGACAAACACATTTGTAGCAAGACCCGTGCACCAAAATAGTTGCATATTATTGTTGTGTCGGCTGTCTGTTGTTCTTTGATTGCTCGTGTGCCTGGCTTCCTGGTACTGCATGCTCCCTCAGGTACCATAAACTATGGCCCCTACTTAAGGCAATAAACTAAGAGAAGAGAGTTCATAGGGTGGAAGCCAAGGCTTTGAGAGTCATCTTGAGTTAGTTGTAGCGTAGACACGGGGTAGAAAGGACAGAGAAACTTTTGCTTGTGCCTTCTAAGAATGATTGTTGTTAGCGATCCAGTAGCATCTGAGCGTTGACTCTTCTGCATGATGCCATTCAGTAATAGTTGCATGTTTGTTCTAATTGTTGTCTTGAGGAGTAGAGGCAATTAGATGTGTAGGGTAGCTTGGGAAGAAAACATCCCCTTCTAAGAATGATTAAACTACTACAATTCTTTAACTCTATGTTTATTTTACTTTACATATTCCTTAATGAACCCACACAAAGACACCACAATTATGCAAGTTATTTTTGTGAAAGTAAGATTTTATAAAATCTTACTTGACAAATACATTTCTGACAAGAGCAGTGTGTGCCAAAATAGTTGTTTATTATGCAAGTTACTTTTCTGAAAGTAAGATTTTACAAAATGATAATGACGAAATCCTACCTGACAAACACATTTTTGACAGGGGTCCTGCAGGGATGTGAACCTGTCCCCGTCGCGATACTCCTGTCCATAGTGGACACAATCGTCGCACACGGGACAGCAGAGCCCCTCCCTGAACCGAGGGTTGCTGCATTTAGGAGTCGGGCAGCGGTCCTCTTGGCTGTCACACAGTACTTCTCCTGGAAAGTAAAGGTATGAAGGAATTTCTTGAGTATTTCTCCTAAAGAATAGAGATATGGAAAAATATCTTGAGTATTTCACCTAAAAAGTAGAGATATGGAGGAGTACCTTTATACAGTACTTCTCCTAGAGAGTAGAGATATGGAGGAATATCTGAGTATTTCTCCTGGACAGTAGAGAGTAGAAAGTAGGAATATCTTTACACAGTACTTCTCCTAAAAAGTAGAAAAATGGAGGGATACCTTCTGTAGTTCTCCTGGACAGTAGAGATATGGAGGAATATCTTTACAAGCTATCATGAATGAAAACTATTCCTAAGCATGGCTAATATATTATATTCAAGATCATACTATTTTTAACAAATAAAGTATATTTAATTGCCAGAGGTCAGATAAAGTCAAGCCAGACTGTGTGCCACACGTAGATGGAATGAATGTTGGAAAGGAGTTTAGGGGTTGGCTCAACATTTGGGTGTTTTGAGCTTAAGATAGAACAAGCAAGGCTGAGGTCACCTAGAGGCCTGAAGAATATTTTTGTGGCCACAAAAACAAATGTGTTACTTTAACTGACCTCTTCCACAGATTGGACCCAGAGTCTAACCACCCACCAACATGAATACCATCAAAGTCTTGTGAAGATGCCTCCGCAGTCTGGAGACCACAACCAGGGCCACAAGTTTAACCACAGAACGCAAAGCTGCAAAATCTAAATCTGTAATGACATAATTCTGCAACAAATTTTTGCTCTCTTGGTATTTCATTTCTGTGACAGACTTAGACAATTCTTTGTCTGAGCTTAATCTATATTATGTCTGCTTTAAGCTGAGCATATTTCTGCTTCTTGAGAACACATACATTTAAAATCCAAGGCTGAAGCTGCCAGCAATGGTTTTTAATTGCCAGGTAATCACATTTAGCCACTTACTCGTAATGTAAGCCAAAAAGCAGACAAGGGAGTGTAGCCTTCAGTCACTTTGAGGACTAAAACTATCTGCACAAAAAGCATCTTTAAAATAATAATTTTTAAAAAGCCAAACAATTTAGCAACTCACCTTGATCACACAAACATCTAGAGCACTGGTCTTGGGAGACAAGGTCACCATGTCTGAATTTCTCATCCTTGTAAGTGCAGCCTGTCATGAAAACCACAAATATATTATTAGAATAGAAATTTGATCCATTTTAAGTTTCTGATCACTCACTGCAGCCAAACACACCATCATAGCAAGAATCAAAAGGTAGACCAATACAGTACAAGCACTCTTGTCTTTTATGACAAATTGATTGCTGTTATCCACACTAATCCCTGATGTGACCACATACAAGATACATACAACATACACAGAAAAAAATGTTGGAGTACCGAACAACAGCAGCAATGTAAAAGCTGTAAATACTGTATTGCTAATTGAATTAAAGGGCAACAGTAGCTATGAACTAAATGCAGCACTTACTTATAGTTGAAACTGTCTAAGACAGCCACTCATTGTTGAGAAGAAAATAGGTCGTATTAGACAGGAGGCCGTCTCATGCAGGGTCATTTTAATGACAAAAATTTGCTAGGGAAGAAATGGGAAGTGGCTATTTGTACAGGTGGTTGTCTTCTACAGGTGGCCAGAAAAGCAGGTTTGAGTATTTATTTTTGAAGATTTTACATCCTACAGCTACACTAGTACCACTAGAAGGTACACTACTTGAGGACACCATGATTTTGTTGAGTTTGAGTAACTCTTGCAACAGTTCCAGTAATATTTAATACAAAAGAAACATTTCTCTCACTGACCTTTACAAACTGGACAACAGTTTCCTGGTAATGTCTCCGTCCGTTCACAGCGCAGTCTGGGACATTCTCTGGCGACACTGACAGATCGGCAGCTCATACTTCCGTCACGACAGGAACACTGACGGCACGTCTCTCCGGCCACAGTCAGCGTCTCTCCCTCTGGGACAACCCGGCCCTCAAACAGGCAATCTGTGCAAGGTGGAAGGATTTGAAAGGAATACAATGAACATACAAAATATAACAGAAGAATTTAGCAGGATGGTCCAGTATATAAAAGATATTAGTATCTATCATCTATCATCCTTATCTGTCCTCTCCACCTTTTCTTTGTATTTTATTGTCTAGTAACACTTCTACTCTTCAGCATTTATATATGACCTATTTGTGTTGCAAGTGCAATAAAACTCATATCTAAATTTAAAAATTTACAAATAGCTTACAAATAAACCTGGTTTGAACACATATCTACACTGTAAACTAGTATCTTACTAACAAATCTCACAACAAGCCTCATTTCAACGAATGCCCGCACCTTTGGCTTATTGTCTTGCTAACAGAGCTTACGACAGGCACAGTTTGAACACATGCTTGTGCTATAGATTATTGCCTCAGTAACAGATTTGACAACAAGCCTCATTAAAACACATACCTAACCTGTGCTTTGGACTATTGTCTTAGTAACAGAGTTTAACACAAAATCTCATTTCAACACACACCAGTGCTTTGGACACAAAGCTCATTTCAATACATACCTGTGCTTTGGACTTTTGTCTTACTAACCTGTCCCCGTCGTTTTATGCTAGAAAAATTCTGAAATTATTCAAACTGAGCCCAAAAATGAGAAATTATGCGATTTTAACAAAAAAGGATAAAGGAAAATAATCAGAAATTATGCAAAAAATTATCAAATTTTGTTAAATTATGCAGGGTGCTTAAAACCGCGGAGACAGACTAAAAGGTTTGACAACCAGCCTTCTCAAAACACATACCTGTGCACAGAGAGCAGCAGTCCCCCGGGCGGACAACTCCATGTGAGCACCGCCTAGGACAGTCAGCGCCGGGCTCGCATACGACCTTGCCCGAGCGGCACTGGCAGATGTCACAGGCCGAGTTGTGAGACGGCCAGGTGTCACCCTCCAGGTAGTCGACGCCCTGGTCTTCACAGGCTGAGAGACACACAGGAGACACATCAGACCATTTGCTGACACACAAGTGTTTGGTCAACATGTAGAACATGCAATAACTGACGCTTAAAAGCTTGATAAAAATGACCCAAAAAACAGGGGAAAAGTATATTTGAGCCCTCGTTTTGGAACTAACTTGATTTGATATGAATACTTGTGGTCTAAATTCTTTGTGGGGCTACATTTTTGGGTTTTTTAAAATGAATTTGGAGGGGTGGGGGGGTGTTTCAAAAGTACATTTACAGTAAAGGGAATTAAAAACAATTAAAAAAACAAAAACTTTCATATCACATATTAACACTTACTTCAACAACTTCAAGACAACTTTTACACCAGACGGTAAATCTTACTTGGACAAAGAGTAGGGCAGCATTCGCCCGGCTTCCGCACGGGTGATGAGCAAGGGACGTCACTCTGAGAGCAGTGGACGGTACGGCAGCGCACGATGGAGTTGGAACACGTGCAGTTGAGGCACGGATTGTACACCGGGTTGAACACGCTCTTGTCACGGTACTTGCGACCATCGTACTCACAGTCTGTGGCAGGAAAAGAGAAGGAAAATGCGACCATTTGTCAAAAAACAAGATGAACAAGCCATTCTTAAAAGCTTGGTTTTTATTTTAAACATAAAAAGTCAAACTGAGCAGTTGATAGCAACTAACAACAATACACGAGTAAACGGACATAGGACACTGCACAGCTACATGACACACTGATCACACTGCACAGCTACATGACACACTGATCACACTGTACAGCTACATGACACACTGATCACACTGCACAGCTACATGACACACTGATCACACTGCACAGCTACTTGACACACTGATCACACTGTACAGCTACTTGACACACTGATCACACTGCTCAGCTACTTGACACACTGATCGAGGCAAATGCTGTGGCAGATGAGGAAACAGGTGAGCAGGGACTGAACAAGAAAAATTTCACCCCCCCCCCCCTTACTTCCCTCTCAACCATTTTGCCCCTTGAAGTGCCAAGTGGCACCATAACTGTCTGTTCACAGCTCGGTAAGAGAATTGAATATTGGATCATAAGAATTTATGAAAAAACAACACTCTCCCAGTCAAGATCTGTAAGTGACTCTGTGGTGCATTTGGGAGAAATCTCCAGCCTAAAGCTTTTTGAGGAGTCAACCTTATACCTAAATGATGGTGACATTGATAACTTCAGTGAATCAGCAGATTGTGCTCTATGTTGATATTGCCACAGTGGAGATTGAGAAAACTGTTGTTGTTAATACATAGGAATTTATAAAGTATAACGCTTAATGCTGATCAGCAAGTACCCTTTCTTTTGTCTCTGTCAGCAAAGAGCATGACTGAAACTAATAAGGAAGGCAATTGAAGAAAAAGGAAAAGTCTGAATGAGAATGAAGGAGAACATAATGAGATGATGGTGAACTAGAAAATACTGACAGAGAAGTAACTTTCTCAGAAGTAACAAACATTTTCTTTACACTAGACTCACCTAATCCACAAGCTGGACAGCACTGACCAATCGGAGTGACAGGATTGGAACATGTGACCTCCGCACAATCCACGACGCTACAGACGGCATTGCCGCGCTCACAGACGCATGAGGAGCAGGGCTCAGGGGAAAACTCGGCCCCTTCTCTGTACACTTTTCCCTGGTACAAACACGCTGGGGATGACAAGAGGGAGTCAGGTGTTTTCCACTGCTACAAGGTCTGATATAGTACAGTATTGCATGGTTTCCTGGGGTACAAAATAGAATCTCATACAGTGCAGCCTCTCTATAACAACATCGTCAGGACCAGAAAAAAATGTCGTTATAGAAAGTTTTCTTTATAGAGAGGCAACCAAAAATATTACTAATGATATATAAGGAGAAAATCGGGACCAGGGCACCATCTCTCAAAACAGAGGATGTCGTTACATCGAAGGTCGGTACAGAGAGGCTGCACTGTAGAATATTATGAGTGTAACAACAGTGTGGTATTGTGTGGTATGTAAAATATGTTTTGAAACAGAACATTATTGTGCAGTAAGATGTAACAAAAGAGTACTGTGGTATGTTATGGTATGAAATACTATTTTACTCTGTAGTATAAGTGTAACACTTTGCTACTTTATACAGCCGTGTCTCTGGGGCTTCACCTTCTTGTTAAATTTTGGAAAAAATCTACAGAATAAATATATTTCTCCCTTGCAAACTGTACTTGGTGTCCTGTTTTAATAAAAGCAATATTAACGGGTTATTGAATTTCAGTAAAAATTTAAGAACACATTAACACAGAATGAAAAATAAGAAAACCAACAGACAACAAACAAAAAAACTGAAGAGCTGTCAAAGCTAGGACGAGAGTCACTGTTGCTATATATATATCCCATACCCACAGGCTTTTAGCACTTCTCAGGTAAGGCCAGAGTCAGACTCTTTTCCCCAATCACTTCAAACATAATGACGTAAGTTTTCATCATCATTAGAGCCCTCTTGAACCCCTCATTCAAGCTGTGACAAACCATACTTTTCTGACAGGTGCTATAAAAATATAGGTTTCTTATTTTCTCACTCATGACCCACAGTATAAAATTGCAGAAGAAAAAAACACTACAAAATTGTACAATACGCAAAAACTGTGGATGGGATAGTCGATGACAAAATGTTCTGTTTTTTACACAGTCAAGAAATGTGGGAAAGGGGAAAAAATCTCTTCAACAAAAATTGTTTATAACACAACAAAACAAAACAAAACAAAAAAGCCCCTCAAGAGATAGCATGAATTAGTTTGGTTCAGAGATACAAGCTCAAATAATGTTAAAAAATAAATAACAATTATAATAAAATTAATAAAAAGTACATCTTAAAAAATCTAAGCAGAGTAGCCTACAACTCACACGAGCACTGTGCACAGCACTCCCCTGGTGGCGTGTACGGATGGTCACAGGTCGGTACTTCACACACCGTAGTGCTGCACTCAACTTTGCCTCCCTGTGAACAGTCAGTGCGGTTTTAACCCTATCCGTACGCCCTGGGGTCATTTTGTACCCCCACGGATGTATTCTTCAGATTTTAGAATACTTTTAGTGCAAAAATCTCTTTGAAACTTTCAGTATTTCTCAAACAATCATTTTGACAGACTGCTATGCAAAGCGTACGGATTGAATTAAAGAGTAAATTTCCTCTTTGGAAAGTGGTGGCATAGAGTTCCCCACATCGTATGGATACGATAGTAAAACATGACGTACGGATAGGGTTAAGTCAGCCTTTTAGAGACATCGCGACCCCAGTGCTTTCTTGTCAAATCTCCATTTTTAATAACATTGAAAACAGTTCATAACAAAGGGTGAGCTTTAGAAGATGTCACATTTTCACTGTTTAAAAAATGGCGATAGGAAAAGAAAGCACTGAAGTCGTGACACACAGTGTCCTTTGATTCAGTACTGTATGAATCTAGAGAACAGTGAGATTCAAAGTAGTTTGGACAGAAGAAAGATTATTTATTTATTCACTTAGTACAGCATTAAATTCACTGCAAATATTAAAAACAAACAAAGTGATATTTGTTTTTGAGCCTAGATATAGAATTGAAACAAATAAAATAATGAGAAAGGCTATATCCAGATGGTCTATGCTCAGTGCAGACAACTTTTCCACTTCCTAAGCAACTGTAAAATGATGCTTGCTGTATGTGAAGACAGAAGGAGCATGAATTTTGACGAATTATAGCATCCTTTACCTGGCCGACACAGTCCTTACATTACCTGGCAAACACAGTCCTGACATTACCTGGCACACACATGACAAACACAGTCCTGACATTACCTGGCACACACAGTCCTGACATTACCTGGCACACACAGTCCTGACATTACCTGGCACACACATGACAAACACAGTCCTGACATTACCTGGCAAACACAGTCCTGACATTACCTGGCACACACATGACAAACACAGTCCTGACATTACCTGGCACACACATGACAAACACAGTCCTGACATTACCTGGCACACACAGTCCTGACATTACCTGGCACACACAGTCCTGACATTACCTGGCACACACAGTCCTTACATTACCTGGCAAACACAGTCCTGACATTCGCTCGGCTTCCATCGAGAACCGTGTTGGCGGGACCCGCAGTCCTGACAGACTGGACAGCACTGACCGTCTGTCTGGCTGACGGAGCTGCATTCCCCGAGGTCAGGACATTCCACTTTTGAGCACGCCACATTGCCATTCTCACAGCGACATCTGGAACAAAGATCGCCAGGGATGCGGAAATCACTTCCTGACAGGACGACTTGTCCTTTGTAGTCACAACCTGGTGAGAAAAAATAACATTGTAGTCTTAACCTGGTAGACAATAACGACATTTTAGTCACATGTGAGGAAAACAAAGTGACAGAATATTAACCACAACCTCGAATAAAGAGCAATCAAATCCTAGTCACCACTTTGAAAGCAATGACAGAATCTTCATCACAGCCTGAAAAATTTACTAATACAATAATATTTTTGCAGGCAAACTACTTCTGTAACACTGAAACATATCTGAGAATAATTTAGGACAATGAAAGAAGAATATAAAGATAAAGATTTACAAAGAAATAGAGGAGGAAAGAGAGAGACATTGGTTTATTCTTTTGAGCGGTATGTAACAGAAGCATTTCACCTGTACATAGATTCGGATTACAGAAACACAGAAAAGAAGCAATTGGAGCAAGCCACATCAACCCACAAACTAACCTTGTACAAAGAAAAAATAAGAATGAGAGAGAGACAGACAGACAGACAGACAGACAGACAGACAGACAGACGGACAGACAGACGGACGGGCGGACAGACAGACAGACACACAGACAGACAGACAGACAGACGGACGGACGGACGGACGGACGGACGGACGGACGGACGGATGGACAGACAGACAGACAGACAGACAGACAGACAGACAGACAGACAGACAGACAGACTGAGAAAGATTGAGAGAGAGAAAGAGAATATTTGGTACTGGGGTAACATTAATAGCCAATTTAGGAATAGTTACCTGCACTACATAAATGTAATCCATCAACAATTATCATCATTGTCCTTAAAGGAGGAACATTTTGACTCTTCACTTTGCTCAACAGCGCAGAGTATCATAATGTTCTAGGCACCTACCATCACAGGAGGGACAGCACTGGTCCTGCAGCATCACGGGATAACGACAGGCAGCGCGAGGACATTCCACAGCTCCGCAGCGAGTCTCTCCATCCTGAAATATGAAGAAAGAGAGTTGAGCTAAAGTAAAATTTGATTTGTAAACAGATAAGCACCTGACCCCTGGACAGCACTGACCGTCTGTCTGGCTGACGGAGCTGCATTCCCCGAGGTCAGGACATTCCACTTTTGAGCACGCCACATTGCCATTCTCACAGCGACATCTGGAACAAAGATCGCCAGGGATGCGGAAATCACTTCCTGACAGGACGACTTGTCCTTTGTAGTCACAACCTGGTGAGAAAAAATAACATTGTAGTCTTAACCTGGTAGACAATAACGACATTTTAGTCACATGTGAGGAAAACAAAGTGACAGAATATTAACCACAACCTCGAATAAAGAGCAATCAAATCCTAGTCACCACTTTGAAAGCAATGACAGAATCTTCATCACAGCCTGAAAAATTTACTAATACAATAATATTTTTGCAGGCAAACTACTTCTGTAACACTGAAACATATCTGAGAATAATTTAGGACAATGAAAGAAGAATATAAAGATAAAGATTTACAAAGAAATAGAGGAGGAAAGAGAGAGACATTGGTTTATTCTTTTGAGCGGTATGTAACAGAAGCATTTCACCTGTACATAGATTCGGATTACAGAAACACAGAAAAGAAGCAATTGGAGCAAGCCACATCAACCCACAAACTAACCTTGTACAAAGAAAAAATAAGAATGAGAGAGAGACAGACAGACAGACAGACAGACAGACAGACAGACAGACGGACAGACAGACGGACGGGCGGACAGACAGACAGACACACAGACAGACAGACAGACAGACGGACGGACGGACGGACGGACGGACGGACGGACGGACGGATGGACAGACAGACAGACAGACAGACAGACAGACAGACAGACAGACAGACAGACAGACTGAGAAAGATTGAGAGAGAGAAAGAGAATATTTGGTACTGGGGTAACATTAATAGCCAATTTAGGAATAGTTACCTGCACTACATAAATGTAATCCATCAACAATTATCATCATTGTCCTTAAAGGAGGAACATTTTGACTCTTCACTTTGCTCAACAGCGCAGAGTATCATAATGTTCTAGGCACCTACCATCACAGGAGGGACAGCACTGGTCCTGCAGCATCCCGGGGATAACGACAGGCAGCGCGAGGCCATTCCACAGCTCCGCAGCGAGTCTCTCCATCCTGAAATATGAAGAAAGAGAGTTGAGCTAAAGTAAAATTTGATTTGTAAACAGATAAGCACCTGACCCCCCCCCCCCCCACTCCACCCCACCCAAGGTTAAATTCTTAGCCACTTTAAATATCACAATTAAACTTTATAAATAACCCAATAAAATAAATATTATAACTAAACTTTATAGATAACCCAATAAATTAATCTCAGTTTTAAACAAACAGCCAAAATCAAATCAAATAGAGTTTCAGACAGAACTGAGTCCTCTGAAAGAAAGTTCTGTGACTGTCATAGAAGTTGCTCTTGTATCGAAACAATGCAAAAGAGAAAACTGCTGATTATTAGCTATATTAGCTTATGTGATCCAACACCACATTACCTTGTTTAAAGAATTACCACTATATTTTTATATCTCCCCAGCAAAAAATTTTTTGTCGTGTGTGTTTGTGTCTTGCTCTACAGAACAGTGGTAACTTAACCTTATCCGTATGTTGTGTTTTACTATTGTATCCATACGACGTGGGGAACTCTGTACCCACACTTTCCAAAGAGGAAATTTACTCATGAATCCGATCTGTACGCTTTGCATAGCAGTCTGTCAAAATGATTTTTTGAGAAATACTGAAAGTTTCAAAGAGATTTCCGCACTAGAAGTATTCTAAAATGTAAAGAATACAACCCCGGGGGTACAAAATGACCTCAGGGCGTACGGATAGAGTTAAATAGCACCACCCATCATACCTCACAGGAACACGTCTGGCATGGTGCACGTGACCATCTCTCTCCTTCATGTCTCTCCTGTTGGCTCTCATCCAAACAACCTGGTCACAGGATGATATGTGAAGTGTGCTGACAAAATGAGTTACTTCTCGGATTTGAACCCAATGGAAATAGATACATCACGCTTATAAATGAAGTTTTTACAATTTATAAGTAGGCCTATGAAATAATAAAAGAGAGGTTATAGTTAAAGAATGCGGGATCAATAAAAAATCTACAAATTTGACCCTAACGTTGATTTTGGGCTAATATCTCTATTTGTGGATTGCAAAAAATAACTCATTTTGTCAGCTCGCCTCACATATATATAGTGGTGCTAATAGAAGAGCAGTGTTTTTTACAGAGCTTGAATTGTTCTGTCACCCATGCAATAAAATCAGCTGCTTCTCTGGGTTCTACCTCATAGAAATGTGAGAAGTGAATAAAAAGTTGTTACAACTGTAACAAAGATGTGAAAAATTGAGTGTAGGCTTGCTGTACAGGCTTCAAAGTCATGGTGATGTCTAAATTAAAAAACTTTAAACTCTATAATCGTTACTCAAAAATAAGCTGTAAAGTGCCATCTTGGATTTGATAAATATTATGTTAGGCCTCTTAATCTGTTGCTTCGGAAAAAACAACAATTTTCTTCATTGGAAGCCCTCAACTGGGTCTTGCAAAAAAGGGGAGTTATTGTAACTCAAAAGCTTCATTCTGAGGGAATTATAAAAATTCTTCATGTGTGGTGTTTTTAAATCTTCAGTTTCTTAGAATACCTCTGCTTACTATTATTCTTTTGCTTTTACTTGTTTGTTTTATCTATTTCTCAACAGTACAACTTACCAGAACATTGCAATCGTCTTCCACTGTCTCCATCATACCACTCTCGCCCACAGGAGCCGCAGTTGTTGACTCTGCACACCGCATTTGGGTGGCCTGGGAAAACAGCCATACATCTATTTACTTCTTCAAAGCAATACAATGACAAGAATAGATAATAAGTTATAATATTCCTTAACATGGATATAAGAAGATTATGACTTAACTACTTGAACATTTCACTTTGAACATCAAAACAAATATCTTATTAAAACTAGATCAGCCCCCCCCCCCCCCCGAGAGGGGGGGGGGAACGGGCTGGGGGGGTTTTGGGTCTTTAGGCCATTCCCAAAGGGGGGATATTAACATGTTCTTATGCAAAGTAGAATTGTAAATGGGCTGATTCATCAATGTCATGCTCATACTGTGCCAGAACAACATAGTGGGAACTCCTACTTTTTCTTTCCTCATCCTTTTTCCTCTACTTCTTTTGTATGTTTGTCACACTCTTGTAGACGAAGCAGACTTTGCACTGTTGAGGCTAGAGGGGTGAGCAGAGTAAGCCGGATTCCCCGTTTGGACTTCCCTGGTAACATCCACCCCTTAGCACTCATATTAACTTATGCAGTTGCAAGCGCTGTAAAACCTTACTAAAACTAAACTAAAACTATATCAAAAGTATATTAAAATATCTTCATCTTTAAAAACTTCTTCCCTTGTGGTCTACTGCTCTTGCTAGGAACAGAACTCTCTATTTGCAAAAGTAATAGCTAGAAGAAGATAATATGAAAACAAAACATGGCAATATTTCTTCTCAGCTGAAAATTTTGAATGGCAAGAGCAAGCTAAAATATGAAAAACATGTATACATACAATAGCTAGCTACTAAAATCTCTCATACTACACAGTATCATTTTTTTCTTTTAAAAAAGAACAAAAAACGAATTTTTTTTTACATGTAACATTTATTTGAGTTTACAAAAAGTAAGACAGAAGAAAACACACTGGCAAATAGTGCAGCATCACAGGCACATTTTTAAAAATTTCCACAAAGGTTACAATATGACCTTACGCAGTTGCAAGCGCCATAAAACACTTACCCCCCCAAAAAAACCTACCCGGACAAACTCGGCCTCCGCATAGATCGCCAGGGCACATCACTTGTGGCTGTCCAAGCTGGCAGTTTGTGTACACCTCGGTGACCAGACACAACCTGGCCAATGAGGAAAAAACAGAATACAGTCAAAATTAACTTTCTGAGACAATCACTCATTGTTGAGGAAGAAAAGTGGCAAATTAGACAGGTGGCTGTCTTATACAATATTATTACAATGTTAAGTTTTAGTAAGAGTTTTACAGCACTTGCAGCACAATAAGGTCATATAAGTGCCGAAGATTATATGCGTTACAAAATAGTAACAAACACAAAAAAGAAGGAGGAACAAGGACAAAAGATGTTTGATAGGAAAGGAGGAGCAAACCACACCAGAGCACCTGCCAACCGCTCACATCATTATAATGTTCTTTAAAAAACCGTATGGGAGGAAATGGGAAGTGGCCATTTGTACAGGTTCATAATCTTGTGAAGGTAGATGTTAGAGCAGGTTCCACTCTATTTCTATTGACCAAAAGACCTCACTAGACACAGGGGGTAGATATGTAGGCCCATGTGTGTGTGTGTGTGTGTGTGTGTGTGTGTGTGTGTGTGTGTGTGTGTGTGTGTGTGTGTGTGTGTGTGTGTTTGTGTGTTAAGAGCAGGGGGGAGGGGGAGGGAGGCCGGTCTATAATGTTTTTGTTTCTCCTTCCCCAACGTGCTAGGGGCGGGCCACTGAGCGGACGGAGACTGCTGGCCTCCAGTAATCGCGCTTCTTCCCACAGCGGCAGCGCGGCTTGTGCCCGTCCCAGATTTTCCTGGCGTGTCGTCGTTGTTTTGCTTTACCGCCGTCCCTCCCGTCCCGCGTCCTGGTTTGTCTCCCTTCCCCCCGACCTTGTCCCAAATATTGTTGGCGTTGGTGTCTGACACCGACTGACTGACTGACTGCCACCTCTGCCCACCACGACGTGGTGTTGTTAAAAGTAGTAAACGTCCTTGTCTGTCTGTTTGTTTGTTTGTTTGTTTGTCTGTCTGTCCATAACGTAGCTGTGTGTTGCTGTTCTTACTCTCTCTCTCTCTCTCTCTCTCT